ATTTAGACAATATTAGCAGCATTTAGACCAGACACACTGATGACTCAGTTCAGGTCATTCTTACTATTTGTCTGCATATTTCACCAGTCAACCTTTCCAGCTACAGCAGAAGTCTCAATTTTTGTCAAGATCATTTGCCAGTTCTGCTTAAATTTCTGAAGCTAAAACCTGCCACAACCTTATGGAATTGTCAGTAGAATCATTTGCTGCTTTAGAGTTGAAGCCTTCCATCGCATGATAAAAGAAGTCAAGTACACATTCCCTACTTCAGAAACGACCAGACCAAGGTATGTATAATTTCATTTATTTCACAGACCATTTCAATTAGGTTTTTCAATGAAACACCACAATAATTTGAATATATTGATTAGAAATATTTTTATTTAGATAACAAAAATATTTGGTTCAATGATACAAACTAATAATTTGAATAAATTTATTAAAATAGCTTTCTTTAGATAACTGTAATATTTGGTTCAATGAATTTTAATATTAATTTTTCCCCCACCCTTGCATGGAATCTCACACATTTATTTACTATACTTTGAATTAATTTGGTGTATACTGATGTAAACTAGAAAGTATGATAGCATCTACAAACAAGTCTCTAAAATGCAAGTGGCGCGATTGGATCCACCTGCAGCTGGATATGTCACATGACTGAAAATGAATGTTCTGATTAGATGTTTTTTTCTTTTTTAATAATTTGAATAAATTTATTAAAATAGCTGTTTTTAGACAACTGTAATATTTGCTCCAATGAAACACTGTAATAATTTTGAAAACATTGGTCAAAAACTGATTCCTTAATTTCCTGAAATATTTGATTTAATGAATCAGTTATTCATTGAATACTAGCCAGTTTCTAGGATTATGTATTGTAATCTTGTCAATTGCATCTTGGGAAATTCCCCTCTTCAACATCTTAGGAATGACATTAAGCAGGATGTGAGAGTAACCATGGCCACCATACTTCATCTGTAACCATAGAAACAAAAGCTTGTCAAGATTTGCATTGAAATTTGGCTAATATTTATAGCTTTGTATGTGTTTTTTGAGCTCTAGGAACATAAACACTTGGTGTAGTTTAGATAGAATAAACTGAAAGGCACAATAGATGACAACGATTATACATGTATGAGTTCAGTGGTGGGAACAAATATCAGTTTTGATTCAAATGAAAAACAAACTAGGAGGTAATCAGTCGTTTTTATAAATTAATCTGGAGGTTCTTAATTAATAATGTTACTTCATTATAGAATAATAACATAATTAAAATAAAATTTACCAGGAACAATACCTGTACTGTAATTGTAAGTTATAGTATATTTACCAATCTATGTTTGGTAAGTACATCATGTAGCG